AGGTCCCCTGCAGACTCTCCTGGCCCCTCTCTCCTGTCAGATGCCCCCACAGCAAGCAGCTTGCTTTGGGGGACACCCGCTGCTCCATGTGTCCATTGAAGAGGGGGAGTCCTGGTATAGCCAAGACTCCAGTGCATATCGCTGGATCAAGAGGGGTTAGGTGAGTATTTGGGGGTGATGTTGCACACAGATTTTTTTTACCTTCATGCATAGAATGTATGAAGGAAAAAACCTTGGGCCTTTACAACCACTTTAAACCAGAATAAATTAAAGTAGTGCAACTCAAGCTAAAAAAAATATATATAAATACTATTCCAAAGACTGAGGATTAGTTAAAACTCCCTTTTCTCTGCTGTCTGTGTCTTTGCAGGAGACACCCCTCAATTTTTGTGTGGTCACTGTCACAGGAAGGGAGAGGAAATATCTCTAACAGAAGAACAGACAATAACAGCATGGCCCTGCTTTTAATTCTCTCGCAGCATATCCCAAACTACAACAGAGAATATGGCTAGATGTTATTTTTTCTGTGTGTGTTTTTTAGGTGTTTTTAAGTATTTTTTCTTTATTTTATGTCTCCACAAAGTGAATAGAAACCCCCAAACAAGATACACAGAACAGAAAACAAAAGCTGACAGAGATTGTCACCTTTCTCAATTCTATAAAAAAGTGCTGTGTATGTTCTTGCAGAAGAAACATTTTTTTCTGGAGACATGTACTGAAATCTTCCCAGTAGGTTCACAGCCATCAATATTAACCTGACAGAGGTTCTATTCCTTCTTTATACAAAACTAAAAAGAAAAACAATTGGCAGGAGTTGGGTATTAATAAAACCAACAGATATGTCCCTTTTCCTCTAATAATAATTTTAGGTTGGTGGTGTTAATGGAAAATAACAAATTTGGAGACACAGAGAAGAAACTGGTGTGGTTATGTATAAATACCAAATTAAAAAAGAAAAAAGCGCCACTTACAAAAAAACACCAAAGTGTCAGCAGCATATCCCATCCAAAATAAATTTTGGCAACAATAATCCAAATTAAAAGGTATGCGCTAATAACAAACTTATACAAAAGTGTATATCATCCTCCAAAAAACATTAATGTTTTAAATAAATTATAGTGTCCAAACATAAATTAGTGTCCAAAAAATATATATATCTTCAGTGGCTTGAACCAATTGTGAGAAATCCACCACCAAAGGAGATTAAATAAACTCACCAGAGCTAATGGCTGGTCAGATTATAAACCAGCAACAGCGCTTGTGCTCTGGGAGCAATGAACCCGATGTCCAAATAGATATGGTGATGTTTCAGATACTTCCAGATAATAATCACAGCCAAACAACTTTGCAGCCCAAGCTCTTATGATGAACTTCTCCACTCTTTCTCATACCTCCATGAGAGCATGCAGTACACTCAGGGACAAAAAAGAGAACATAATGGTGCAATACGTTTTTTTCATTTATCTCTTTAATAAAAAAAGGTATAAGGAAACTCACAAACAAGGTGTCCAACAGACACCAGCTTCAATCGCAAAAAAGGGTTGAGATACAGTTAACGCTCACCGCAGATCTCTCCCATACAGCACAGACCAGCAAGGCTCTCTGACGTCCACATCAAATAGGCTACGCCCAACCGGTTTCGTCACACCGACGTCATCAAGGGGCGGTACTCTTGGGGCGGTACCACCCCTTGATGACGTCGGTGTGACGAAACCGGTTGGGCGTAGCCTATTTGATGTGGACGTCAGAGAGCCTTGCTGGTCTGTGCTGTATGGGAGAGATCTGCGGTGAGCGTTAACTGTATCTCAACCCTTTTTTGCGATTGAAGCTGGTGTCTGTTGGACACCTTGTTTGTGAGTTTCCTTATACCTTTTTTTATTAAAGAGATAAATGAAAAAAACGTATTGCACCATTATGTTCTCTTTTTTGTCCCTGAGTGTACTGCATGCTCTCATGGAGGTATGAGAAAGAGTGGAGAAGTTCATCATAAGAGCTTGGGCTGCAAAGTTGTTTGGCTGTGATTATTATCTGGAAGTATCTGAAACATCACCATATCTATTTGGACATCGGGTTCATTGCTCCCAGAGCACAAGCGCTGTTGCTGGTTTATAATCTGACCAGCCATTAGCTCTGGTGAGTTTATTTAATCTCCTTTGGTGGTGGATTTCTCACAATTGGTTCAAGTCACTGAAGATATATATATTTTTTGGACACTAATTTATGTTTGGACACTATAATTTATTTAAAACATTAATGTTTTTTGGAGGATGATATACACTTTTGTATAAGTTTGTTATTAGCGCATACCTTTTAATTTGGATTTTTGGGTGGTTATGTATAAAGCTATTGGACACGGAGTGGTGGCACGTACAGAAAAACACTGACTACAGGTGTCATATTTGAAAGCTCAAATTGTAAAGATGGAAGTAACTGAACCGCGCCTCAACCTTGTCTAATCAGACAACACTATGCATTGTGTCAATGCTAGGCGTCTGACCTTCTGTGTCCAGAATACAGCAGGGAAGCTGCCCGGCATGGGACCCAGAAGTAATTAGAGATTACTGGAGTTACTAGTGATTTCCAGGTTCTATTTTAGAGGGATCACACAGGTGTGGTAAATGTATAGATACATTGTAACTAGGTACAAAATGCCATACCTGGATTTTATCTTTTGAAAAAATTGGCAATGGGCCATACCCAGTGTTACAGAAGACTAAGAATATGGTGGTCCATGCTACGTGGGTCCTTTTCTATTATATAGCGCATCAATATTTGCCTTGTTTCTTCCATTCACAAAAGTAGCTGATTGCCTTCTATTCTGTTGTACATGTCATGTCACCACTTGTTTGTGTCCTTTACAGCCAACAGCTCAACCATGGTGAATCATGTCCATCATGTAGAAGCTGAAAACACAGAGTGAAAGATAGAGGGAAATGCACATGGAAAGAGTTGCACACAGAGCTCACCCATTACACATTGAGCATGAAAGACCTGCTAGCTAGAATTGGGTAGGTAGAATAAGGGGCATGGAAAACCTCATGTTTGATCAGTGCCTATCCATATTTGACGTACAGTACAAGGACTCTAATGTGAGCCACATTAAAAGAGAAGTATGGACTTTAGGAAACAAAAAACCTTATACTCACCTAGGTGGATACTGCATTAATCCAATGATGCATCTGTCCCTTGTTGGCTCTACAGTGAGAACCGAGCAATCAAACATCGCAATCTCTCAGTTCTCCCCCTCCGCTCTGAGCAGGGAGATGTGACTGTCAGTCTCTGGCTCTCTGCTCTGCCCCTCCAGCGCTCACTGGAGCACTGGGCTGTGGATGGGGAAGGAGGGGCTCGCTCAGGCACCTGTGATCCATTGGAGAAGTATAGCCAAAATAGCTTTGGCTATACTTCTCCTTTAAGTATGTCCGTAAAAATAAAAGAACAATGGGCAGCACAAAACTGTTATTTCACATAAAGACTATCAGCTCTAACCTCTAACTAATCTAATTTGAAATACATATTTGAGATAGTTATATATGCTTGGATAAACACGGATTTATTATGGTAAAAACATATAAATTAGTAAAGGCAAACCTGAAAGGACATTTGGTCTGTATCTGTTCTCAACATTCAAAAATAAAAGCTTTATGTGAACTGACAAAATCATCTTTTCACCATATGTTATTTGTTAAAAACCACTGACACAAATATGTGCATGTAGAAAGCAGTAAAAAACTCAAGTAGAGACATGACCGAAACAAACTTCAATTTTCCTGGACTTATACTGTATAATGTGTGTATGTATATATATATATATATATATATATATATATATATATATATATAGAAGGAAATATGTATTTGATCCCCTGCTGATTTTGAATGTTTGCCCACAAACAAAGAAATGTTTGGTCTAAAAATAGAAATGGTGGTTGTATTGTAACAATGAGAGACAGATTAGCAACAAAAAATTCAAAAGAAATACGTGTCTAACAAATTATGCACTGATTTGCATGTTCATGAGGAAAATAAGTATTTGATACCCTATCATTCAGCAGGATTTCTGGCTACCAGGTGTCTTTCATACAGGTAACAAGCTGAGATTAGAAGTAGTCTCTTAAAGGGAGTTCTGCTAATCTCATTTTGTTCCCTGTATAAAAGTCACCTGTCCACAGGAGCAATCAAACAATCAGATTCCAAACTCTCCACCATGGCAAAGACCAAAGAGCTGTCCAAAAATGTCAGGGGCAAGATTTCAGAGTTACACAAGGCTGGACTGGGCTATAAAACTATTGTCAAGCAACTTGGTGAGAAGGTGACAACAGTTGGTGCAATCATTCGCAAATGGAAGAAACACAAAACAACTGTCAGTCTCCCTAGGTTTGGTGCACCATGCAACATCTCCCCTCGTGGAGTGTCAATGATCATGAGAACAGTAAGGAATCATCCCAGAACTACATGTGAGGATCTTGTTAACCTCCCTAGCGGTCTGATTATGTCCATATTTCTGCGCTCAATGCGGTACATTTTTTTGCATGGAAATATGTATTTTTTTTATTGTAGGCCTGTAATTTTTAGGAATAACTCACTGAAATCTGTCTGAACAAGAGTCTAGTAAACATCCCGGGTATGTTAAAATGTGAAACACGAAATCATAAATTATAATTTAATCAATAATCATAAAAAATAATAATATAATAATAATAAATTTAATTCAATAATATAATCAAACCAAAAACACAGAATTTTGAAATATAGCGCCAAGTTTGCACATCACTGAGCAAAGGCGCAAAATTGTTTTCAGTGTCTGATGACGAATTTCCCCACGAATCATTATCGCTCAATTCTGCAAGTGGTTCTGATTTACTATCGCTGTTCTCTAGCTGGTCTAAAACCGATTTTGACCTAAAGGGACGCTTTTTGGACACTATGGACTTTTCTCAGTTTCCAGGCAGAAAGAACAGTAAAAATGTAGGCAGGGCGCAGGACAAAGCACTCGGGACAAAATGTATGTGAAATGGTTTGATACAGTAATGTTTTACTATGTTATTTTAGTGAATTTAGTGAATGTCACTTTTTGTAATTTTCAAATTTCCCGCCGCTCCGTCCCCGTACGTTCTGACGTCGCAGGGGACGGAACCCAGAAGACAGATGCTGGCATCCGCCGGAGGACATTACAGGGGACACTGCAGGAGGGACATTGCGGGAGCGCAGGACAAGGTAAGAGAAGAACAGATCCCAGAGCAGCGTCGCATGGTAAGCCTGAGTGTAGCTCGGGGTTACCGCTTGTGGTACTGAAACTTTACCCCGAGTTACACTCGGGAATACCGCCAGGGAGGCTACTAATCTCCAGGCAGCTGGGACCACAGTCACCAAGAAAACAATTGGTAACACACTACGCCGACAAGGATTGAAATTCTGCAGTGCCTGCAAGGTCCCTCTGCTCAAGAAAGCACATGTCCAGACCCGTCTGAAGTTTGCCACTGAACATCTGAATGATGCAGAGGACTGGTTGAAAGTGTTATGGTCAGATGAGACCAAAATCGAGCTCTTTGGCATAAACTCAACGTGTTTGGAGGAGGAGGAATGCTGCCTATGACCCCAAGAACACCATCCCAACTGTCAAACATGGTGGTGGAAACATTCTGCTTTGGGCACATTTTATGTTAAGGAGCACTCTGTTGGACACATTTATATTAAGGGGCACTCTGATGGGCAAATGTTATATTAAGGGGCACATTGATGGGCACATTCTATGTTGTGCCCATCAGAGTGCCCCTTAACATTCAATATGCCCATCAGAGTGCCCCTGTAAAACTACACTCTACCTTGAGGGCAGACAGAAGCTGTGCCGGCATCCTTCCTGGACGTTTGTGTACGGGCAGGGAGCAGGAGCCGGAGAGACAGTGAGCTGAAAGAGGCGGGCCTCGCACGTGATGTCATGTTGCCATGATGACTGCCCAGCTCAGCAACGGATCTGTCATTGCGGGCTGGCGGTCCGGGCGGCAGCGCAGCTGGGGACATTCGCAGACTGTGGTCCACCATTTAGTGACCGCTAGTACATACATACACACACTGTGACAATGTGAGGTCCTGCCACTGTGTTAGCTGGCTCCTAGGGTTTTCACATATTCAAAGTGAGGGCCTCCAGAGGTTCAGTTTAGAGTAGAGAAAAATAAGCTTTCGGTATTCTCTAGGTTTTGTAATTCACTGATCAGAGTCTGGAGCTCAGAGACGTTGCAGAGCTTTGGCTGGGAAGAAGCATCAAACCCAGTGTCCAGGTCTTACCAGAGACCAGGAGGCTGATTGTGCAGCTGTGCACACCTATTATAATCCAGGGCTTAGCAGCAGTCCAAGGCTCCATCCCACTCCAGGAGTCTGTGGGTATGCAAAGGAGCAACCAAAGTGTGCGTGTCTGAACAGTACAGGTGTGGTGTGTGATGGGACAGATGGAGGCCCTAAGTTTGAGGATCAGAGCAGCAGGGAGCTGTGAGAATGAGCAGAGTGTCAACTGCAAAGGTTGCACAAGAGCAAAACAACGCTGTGGATGAGTTGGTCTGTAGGACCAAACCAGAGGTCTAAGCCTGAGACCTGAGCAGTGGTGATGCAGAACCAATCCAGAAGGATGAAGTCATTTATTTTTATGTTTTCAGTGTTACCCCTGTGAAGGCAATCAGTGTGTTAGAACTTTTTCTTTCCATTTAAATAAAAGTGGGCCAACAAGCCATAAAACAGTATTTCTGGATTGACACCCACACACATACAAGAACAGTAAGGTCCTCACTTATATACATCAGAAGATAATTTTTTTTCTTACTAAATTTATTTTTGTGTTCCAATGACAGACCAATGATAGATAAGTGGACAGCAAAATGGTTTAGTTTCTACTGATTTCCAGCATCCTGGATGTGAGTTTGAGGGTAAAAAATGTTTTTTTTTACAATGTACATTAATTTGATCATTCTGTTTATTGTTTGTAGATCACATGACACTCAGATCCAGTACATAAATTGCAGTCAATCTTTTTGTGATGCTCACCTTTGTACTGTATCTTCTTTTCCTTCAGGGCCAACAGAACTTTCTGTAATAGACCTGATTGTGGCAGTAAATTGAAATGGCACCTTAAAGTTTTTCACACAGCTACCCTCACACAAACGTCTTCTAGCAGTTTCAGTTGTTTTCCCAAATTGGTAAACTGTTGAACATAGGCAAATAGATAAAAGGTACATATAATGGTATTTGCCTGTTCACACCAGTAGACCACATTATACTGCAGCTGCTGGTGGGCACTGTGAAGGGAACAGAGCTATATGCTGACTACAATGTATTTTGCTCTTTAAAATTTTTATTCTTTTTTTTTTTTGTAACATGAAATGTAAAAAAATGACATTTTATGCACCACAGTGTGCATTGAACTACAGTGTGTCACCAGGGTGCCGAAAGGGAACATTTGTGCTAGGAGGGGAAACTTTGGGGGGGGGGTAATTTGTGTTTCAGGAAGGGGGGATTGAGGGGGAAGATTTGTGCTAGGCGGAGGGGTTGTGCTGAAAGAGGGGAAATTTGGGGGTGGCAGGGGTAATATTTGTTCTAAGAGGGAAAATTTGTTGGGGGAGAGGATTTGTGCTGGGGGTAATTTGAGGAGGTGTGATAGGAAGGGTGATTTGTGCTGGGAGGATGGGGAAAATGATTTGTGCTAGAAGGGGGATTTGTGCTAGGAGGGGGATTTATGTTAGAAAAAAGGAATTGCGGGGAGGATTTATGCTAGTAGGAATGACTGAGAAGGATTTGTGCTAGAAGGGGAAATTTGGGGGAGTGCTGGAAGAGGGGGATGGGGGGGATTTGTGTTCAGAGAGGCAATTTGAGGGGTCAAGGATTTGTGCTAGGTGGGGGGGATTTGGGGAGGGAGAGGCAAAGATTTATGCTGGGTTGGAGATTGCATTGAGGGAAGGGGATTTGTACTGGGACGAGGAAGAATTTTGGCTTGGGGAGAATTTTGTATTTTAAAGGGAGTATATGCTTAGGGGGTAAGCATGCAGAATAGTGCTCAATTTTTTGGGGGGAAGGGGGAATTTTTGCTAACACAATGCTCATACATTTTGTGGAGCGCCATTTGGCATCTTCGATCTGGGCGCTAAATTACCTTGTCCCGGCACTGTGTGTCACACGGTGTGTGATGTCTCTAAGCATTGAAAGTGTGATTTCTGTACAGTAAATGATCCAGTTCTGGTGAAATAGAGTACACTCTCAGTAGCATGGCAGAGTGTGACTCGATTAAAATGACATCTTGCAGATTTGAGAAAGCTTTAATCCACAACGTGTGCAGATCATAGCAGATGGTAAAATTAAATCAAAATGAAGTACATGTAGTGAATGGAGGCTCAAGCATGAAGAAGGGTGGGACTAGCAACATAGATCATCCCTTATCATCCCTTATCTATGGAGTGAGGTAGGGAAAAAAGTATTAAAGGCAAACAAGACAATGTATGTGTAATGTATAGGAGTGTTAGATGTACAGTGGGGATCGAAAGTTTGGGCACCCCAGCTAAAAATTTGTATTAATGTGCATAAAGAAGCCATGGAAAGATGGAAAAATCTCCAAAAGGCATCAAATTACAGATTAGACATTCTTATAATATGTCAACAAAAGTTAGATTTTATTTCCATCATTTACACTTTCAAAATAACAGAAAACAAAAAAATGGTGTCTGCAAAAGTTTGGGCACCCTGCAGAATTTATAGCATGCACTGCCCCCTTTGCCAAACTGAGACCTGCCAGTGTCATGGATTGTTCTCAATCATCGTCTGGGAAGACCAAGTGATGTCAATCTCAAAGGTTTTAAATGCCCAGACTCATCTGACCTTGCCCCAACAATCATCACCATGGGTTCTTCTAAGCAGTTGTCTAGAAAACTGAAACTGAAAATAGTTGACGCTCACAAAGCTGGAGAAGGCTATAAGAAGATAGCAAAGCGTTTTCAGATGTCAATATCCTCTGTTCGGAATGTAATTAAGAAATGGCAGTCATCAGGAACAGTGGAAGTTAAAGCAAGATCTGGAAGACCAAGAAAAATATCAGACAGAACAGCTCGCATGATTGTGAGAAAAACAATTCAAAACCCACGTTTGACTGCACGATCCCTCCAGAAAGATCTGGCAGACACTGGAGTTGTGGTACACTTTGCAAATGAACATATAGACAAGCCTGATGCATTTTGGAAACAAGTTCTGTGGACCGATGAGGTTAAAATTGAACTTTTTGGCCGGAATGAGCAAAGGTACGTTTGGAGAAGAAGGGGCACAGAATTTAATGAAAAGAACCTCTGTCCAACTGTTAAGCATGGGGTTGGATCAATCATGCTTTGGGGTTGTGTTGCAGCCAGTGGCACAGGGAACATCTCACGAGCAGAAGGAAAAATGGATTCAATAAAATTTCAGCAAATTTTGGATGGTAACTTGATGCCATCTGTGAAAAAGCTGAAGTTAAAGGATGGCTTCTACAAATGGATAATGATCCTAAACACACCTCGAAATCCACGGGGGATTACATCAAGAGGCGTAAACTGAAGGTTTTGCCATGGCCTTCACAATCTCCTGACCTCAACATAATTGAAAATCTATGGATAGACCTTAAAAGAGCAGTGCGTGGCAGACAGCCCAGAAATCTCAAGAACTGGAAACTTTTGTAAGGAAAAATGGGCAAAGATACCTCAAACAAGAATTGAAAGACTCTTGGCTGGCTACAAAAAGTGTTTACAAGCTGTGATACTTGCCAAAGGGGGCAGTACAAGATATTAACTCTGCAGGGTGCCCAAACTTTTGCAGATGCCATTTTTTTGTTTTCTGTTATTTTGAAAGTGTAAATGATGGAAATAAAATCTAACTTTTGTTGACATATTATAAGAATGTCTAATCTGTAATTTGATGCCTTTTGGAGATTTTTCCATCTTTCCTTGGCTTCTTTATGCACATTAATACAACTTTTTAGCTGGCGTGCCCAAACTTTCGATCCCCACTGTACTTGTAGATTTAAGAAAACTGAAAAATTGAAGCCAAACAATAACTAACACTTTATAAGCAGTTACAGTGACAGTTCTTGTTCTTTCGGATAAAGTTTTATATAAATAAATAAAAGTTAATCATTGTAAGCACCAGTGCCAGCGTTAAATGGTTTGTCTCATCCCTGTAACTCATACATCTGCAGAAGAGCTTGTCCTTTTGAAAAACATCATAATTACTGGCAGGATCGCCAGATGAAAAATAGAAAAAAAGCCTTAAAAGGAAAACTAATGCAGCCATTATATCTAAGATATATGTATCAGGTGGTCAGTGTAGTGCCATTTAC